ATCCCCCCAAGAGCCAAATTCGAGAATCTTTAATAGAATTTTCTTCTAATGCACAGTTTAATACTTTAATACCAAACTTTTTCTTTAATACATCCAAAATAATATCATCAGCGTTCATAAACTTGCGAGACGGATTTTTATGGATTTACAGAGGAATCTTAAATCTCTGATAACACTTTGATAAGAAGAGAAAAATTCATTGTTACAGAATAAATTGATTAACATTTCGCTTAAACCTCCAGTCAATCTAGCAGAACTTTTAATCCCATCTTCTACTAAAAGCTCGCTACAAAGCAACAAAAAAGAAATTATTCGCATTTTTCCTTTCATCTCTTTTCCATTTTTTTTTTCTTGCTGTTGTTGCTGGTCAAAGCATTTAACTTTCTGTTTTCATTTATATTCCAGTCTTTGTTACTATTCTGTTTATTGTCGTAGATAAAGTATCAAAAAAAGTTTCTATCTTTCCTTCTCTGTCTCTCATTTTCACTTTTCTTTCTTTTTTTGGTTGGAGAGCAAGTTATTTATTTCATTTTTCTTCCTTTCCTCTTTTCATCTTTTCACAACATGGGGTTTGAGAGAGACTAAACAGCAAAGATGAAACTAACGAATCCTGAATATCCTTATCAAGTTGAATTGAACGGATGTCGAAGGAAATATAATAAAAATTGATTCGAAAACTTTTCTTCTTTTGCTTTCTTATTTAATGCTGCTGACGCAAATATATAAATATATTTTTTTCGTGTATAATACTGATGATTGCAGAGTTGTTATCAAGGCTAGTGTAATATCGAAAGCATTTTGCTATTCCTTGTTATATTGACAGCAGTCTACGTAATGCTCAGCCTTTAATGGGAATTGTACTCAAGTCTTCACAAACGAGAATTACAAATATCCAGTCTGTTGCAATTCCAGTCGGTCACAGAGTCCTTAATCTCGTACAGTAAGGCTCGACTACATCTTGTTCAATTTCCCAGATTTCAGTCTAGATTGATTTATATTAAATCTGGCTAGAGCATCTTTAACAAGGCGTACATAATAAAAATTCATCAGCTTTAATATTTAAATCCACTTGATTAGTAGCACTCATTGTTGAATTATTGCTTTGGCAATACATGCTGCTAAAAAATGAAAATTAAGCTTTAAAAAATAAATACCATAAAGATTTTAAAGTTAACTCTTCTAAGCGCGACCCCGAATAGCACAAATCGGTTAATCGATCAGAAATCCTGCACCAAGCTGGTGTGACTCTGGCATGGTGCTAGATTTAAAACGAAACCAGCACTATGCCAGAGTCATGGCAGCTTGGTGCTGGATTTCTATTCGAATAACCGACTTGTGCCATTCGGGGAATTCCAACACTGGCTGATTGCTATAGAACCAAGAATTATTTCGATTTTACCCGATTTTACTTAATCATTGAAAGGAAAATCAGAGGCATAGACAAACAGACACATACATAACAACTGATAATATAAAAGAACACAATCGTTCAATTCGAATTCCGTTAACGTACACGTGCTTTAGTCTGGGGAAAATAGAGAGAAGAAATTAAGTAACGAAATTGGAATTAAAAGATGATTTTCGGTTCGGAGCCATGGACTTTTGGGAAGATTAGTTAACAGTTGATTTTCAATAAAGATAAATCCAGATCAGGAATTTCTTTGCATATTTTAGGATGCGAACGAATAATTTCTTTTAATTTGGCGCGTGTTTGTTGACTGCATATTTAAATATTCTGGCATCTGTGAAATTGAATTCAAAATGCGAATTAAAATATTTGAATGTCACGGATTTAAAGCAAATTGATAGAATTTGCATTGTTTGTAGGATTTAGAAATTGTGCAAATTTGTATTTGAGATTTAAGAAGATAATTGAAGATTCGTAATACACGAAAATTAAATTTATCTAGTGATGCATATGATGAAAATGCTTAATTTGATTAAAATTAAGTTTTGATATGGTTAAAGTTGTTCAGTCTAGATGTAGACATTTATGGTCTGAAGTTATATGAAACTATTCTAATGAACAGAGCTGAACCTTTCATTTCGTACTTTTTATTGAATTTTCGGTACACGAATGATTAAGTTTATGGACCTCATCGGACTTTCGGAGACTTTTCGCCTTACTTTTAGCTGCGCCTAAGGTTATAATTATTTAAGAGATTGGAAAAAGTAAAGCTTGGATTGACTAAGTTGTAATAACTTAACATTGACAACTAAAATGTTACATCTAGTCAGGTTCCTATGAAAAGTAATGTTCCACCCAAAACATGCATTAAATTTCGTTAAAGTTGAATGAATTCTTGAGCAAAACTCAAAGGGGCCGTTCATTTATGACGTCCAGGAATGGGCGGGGGAGTCAGAAAGGAAAGAACAATAAAAATTCATGGAAATCCATTGTTCTTTTTTGAAAATGAACGTTAATTTCGGACGTCTTAAGTGAACGACCCCAAAAAGTAAACACGAACGTGTAATTCAATATTTTGGCAAACAAAAAAGTCCTTACAATACTGAGTACTTATTAATTTTTTTAAACAAATATAACTCTTACGAATACTGAGACAAATTATTTTGTAAGACACGTGTAGATGCAAATCCTTAGAAATTCCTAATAAGAAATGTTGACACACAAGAAAGAATCCAAAACAGCGCAATTACTTACGATGAATTTTCCAAATTGATATCAATATCTGTTTATGACATTTTCTTTCCTTTCATACATATCAATAATAATACTGTTAAGCTCTACTAAACGACGCATTATAATTCACCCACACATGCCGTCTACATTGATTAGAAGTTGTTTAGAAAATTATGTTTGAAGACTTAGGTCATGTGAGATTTATATTGAATTTGGGGCTTCGAAAATTGAGAAATCCTATCAATAAACTAGTAATTAAATTAACCAGCCTCCTTCCATCCTTTAGGACGATATAAGTAGGCTGCCCATCGATTTTAGCTCTGCAAAAGCAGGACAGAGCAAATTTAAAAGTATTTTCCAAGATAATAGGTTCAAAAACGATAAGCATCAAGAATTTAAGGCGAAATAATCAAGACTGTCCCGCTTAAAAGTGCGTAGTTGTGCAACCTTGTTATGACTGATCATCTTCGCCAGGCCAAAAAATCCAACTTTGAGTATATTAAGTTTCCATAATGTTTAAATTAAATCCCCAATTCTCCCTTGTCATTCCCAATTTAAATGCCACAGTCTGCTCTCTTTTCAGCTTTCATGATAAAGCTAGAATCCTTCTTCTTTGCATCCAATTTCTTAATCGTAGGCGTCCTTTCAACTGACTTAATAAGAAAGAAACAAGAAGCCACTCAAAGTTCATGTTGCTGAAATGTTTATACTGCACGCTCGAAGAGCTTTGTTCTATTTCTGAATAAGCTAATCAATTCAAGATATTTACGAAAAAAACGCGACATGTTATAAATACGACGTGCAAAGTACGATCTGGAGGTGGATTAAGAATATTTTTTGAAAGGAAGTTGATTCCTAAATTAGACAAAAATCACTCGTCTGACCTTTTCGATGTGATTGCCACGAGCTCTTGTAATAAATGTAAAAATTCTGAGTAGATTATCCTCAGATTGGTTTTTGAAAGTTATCAATTTCACGTGGGAAGTATTGATAAGTTGTCTAAAAATAAATGGCAAAATTTGCCCTTATTCCAAGAACTTCAAAAATATAAACGGTAAAATATCAAATTATTTCACACAAACTCAATTCCCCCTAATTTCAATTTAAATATTTATAACCTATGTTTCTAAATTTAGACATTTTTGCGTGCTATTCTCAACATTTCAAAGCTTACACATACGATTCTGAATTCTGTATAAATTTCACCTATTCATCAATTTTTTTTATATCTTCTTCCACTACTTTACGCGAGGCTTAATATAAAAATGTAAATATTCACAAAATATAGTCACAATTTCAAGCTTATCGCAAGCTATTGATTTTGCATTCTTCATTCAATTCTGTATGCGTATTGTGAAATAAATATGAAATATTATCAATAATAGCGACAATAGTCACATAAAGCTGATTCAATCTGTATAAAAAAACCATCGCAATACTAATAACAGCATGACAATATGTGTAAAATGGCGTCGAAATCTACCGAAAAAAAAATGATTTTAATTGCTTTTTATGTGTGTAGATACATAAAGAGATCTATATTATTTGATAAAGTGCTTGTGAGTATGTAGGCGGACATAAATTCAGAAATTAATGAGAATATGTGTGACATAGGAGGAATAATTTAGATAAAAAATTATGAAGCACTAAGGATAGCTTAAAAGCTTTCCAGGCACTAAGGGTTCATCAAAGAGCCTTAATTATGGATTATAATGTTGGAAAGTAATTCTTTGATATATTAATGGATGAGAGAAATATCTTTTGGGTTAGTAATTAGAAAAATATGTTTTTTGTAAGGATGTTGAGTCAATGGACTATGTTTTTAGAAAAAAGGTGTTTTATTTTTTGTTTTGTCACAAAAGTTTTAAAGTTTAACTTAGTAAAGGATAAATCGGGCAATGCTAGGGGGTGCAATATATAAAATTCAACACACCCTTGAAGCTGAAGTAGCTTGATAGCGGAATGGTTTAGTACTTCAGTAGCTAATTATTGCAATACCAACACAACGATCATTAGTTCAAGACTCGGTATGGGAAATTTTCACTTGTCCTTTTTCAAATCATATGTATTGGAAATGAAGCTCACAGCTTTCCTTTGTAGGCTACAGGCAGAAATGTCATCAAAGGAGTGGTTCAGATCCCACTATAAAATGTAGGTCTAGGTTTGAGTGCAGTAGTTTGGGGCCTAGCGCACTTCTGGATCACAATTGATTTTATGTTCAACACCTCCTTCACCCCATGAAAAGCCTAAGTCTAATCAACTTAAATAGAAGAATCCCCGAGCTCACTAAAATATATCAAGCACATCTCTCTATTATATTCAATTCCGAACTTTTAAAATATTCATATTTTTATTGCAGAACCATCAACTGAAATAATTGGATCTCCAGATTTATACATTGAAAGCGGATCAACGATAAATTTAACATGTGTTGTAAGTGATACCTTTACTGTGAGTTTAATCATAAATAGCGTCCTTTCAAGGGGAAAACAGCATGATGGGAAAATTGTTTTTATCAGTAGTTTCTACAAATTTCAAAATTTTTGTAAAAAATTGATTTAAACTTCTCATCAAAATTTTTTACTATGATGTTGTTTTACCCTTGTGTTTATTAAAGCTTAAGAACCCTCAGATCCCCCTCCCCCAAGTTTGTCTTTGATTCTTTTGGATGAAGTTGTCACAACCTCATTTAAAGTTTGACAACATCTTTAACTGTACCTTTTCTATTAGTTCTCAAAATCACAAGAATTTTAAATCTTCTTATCAAAAATTAAGGGGGAACACAACCTAGTGTAAAAATATATTTTACACTCCATAGTTTTTAAATAAACAATTTTAACTAATTTTCATTTATATTTCCAATATTTCTAGATTCATGACAGTCCTGAGCCCCCAGCATTCATATTTTGGAATCACAATAATGCTGTAAGTATAAAAAAATTTGCTTCCCACGATTGGTATCATTCAATGGACTGAAAAAAGTTGCAATATTTTCTTTTTCTCTACACATGAAGAGATTCACATATAAAAAATTACCATTCATGTCTCATTGCAAGTAAATGCTATTGTTACCATAGATGCATTCCGAACAAATTGAGAATAGCACATGCAAATCTAGTGCATATGTATGGATATGATATATATTATGAATAAAGAAAAAAAAGGGGCAAGAGTATGCATATGGTGAAGCTCCAAAAGTACCATATCATAATATACATTTCATTTCTTTTATGATGCCATTCAAGGCATCTGTTGACAACGATGATGATTCTCTTTTTTTTTTTGCCAATGAAAAAAAAAATTTTATGACCTTTCGTCCTCCTGGTGCTTTCTCTGCTATATCTATAAATATGTATACAAATGTGAAAGATGGGAACTGAAAAAAATTTAATGCTGCTAAATTGTTATTGAAAAAGGAGATGGCTTTTACTGTAAAAGCATAGAATTTAAACAACACAAGTGCAGTCCATGAAAGAAAATTCATAATCCTAGATGATGCCACATGTGCTTTTAATATGCAAGTGCTTTTTCTCGCATCAAACATTATCATTACAGCCAAAAGACAACAAAATAAGCCATTGTCTTTGGATTTGAAATTTTTTGGGGGTGAGGGGTTCTAGTATACAGATTATAGATATGAATATTGAATAGAGGGATAGAGAGAGTCTGTTCAGACTTCAAAAACTCACTGCCAACTTTGGGCAAAAAAATGATTGATTCTATTTTGAATTTTTCAACTGTTCAAATCATTAACAGGCTCTCTTTCATAGCTTCTCTTATTCTCACAAAACATACTCGATCCTCAGTACAAAACAAACCCACATTCTCCAAAAAAACATCCCAAACTCATGTCTTACATCACGATTAAAGTAATAATTTAGATTAAAAATCTCTCTCAGTTAAATTGTTTTAATACACCTACATGCATACAATCACGTTTTCGCTTTCATTCTCCATGCTCATCTGCAAATGAAAGGACGTTGAGATCGTTATTATTATCCATTACCAAAGTAAAGGTTCATTTAGCACTTAGAGCAATTAACCTCTTCTCTTGCATTGGCCCTCCATGCTTAATTACAAAAAAAATTCGCTTCTTCTCAAGGAGAATTTTTTAATGCTCCTTATCTTCATATTATAAAGTCATTGTCAATTTTCCATTTACTTTGGTTTGGGGGCTTATTTGGGATTTGTTTTTTTGAAGACCTCCTCGATGGAAAGGTTTTCTGATTCATGCAAGGATCCATAACCCCTTTAAAAAAATTGAAACTTCAGCACCCCCTTCATCCGACTCTGGCGTTTATATCTACTTGCTCTTAACCCTGTTATAACTTTTAGTAATTTTGTTTCTTATCTTTTCTCATTTCACAGATAATATCCTACGATTCTCCACGCGGTGGTGTCTCGGTATGAAATCTCTCTTATTTCACTCGATGGAATATTTCTCTATTAATTTTTATATTTATGTACACGCACATCTTTAGGTAATCACGGAAAAAGGTGAAACATCAACATCATTTCTGCTCATACAAAATGCAAAACCATCAGACTCGGGACAGTATCAGGTAAAAAATTTCAAACATTTTCTTATTAAAAATTAATATATTAAGAGCAATTATCGTGGATTAAAAAGTGTATATATATGCATAGTGAAATTCTCTTTTATGCATATGGACATGAAAAAAAAAGAATCAATAAAGTTCTTTATAGAGTGACAGAATACACACTCACTATGTGTGGAACACTCTTTTATCCTTGAGCCACAATCACTGCAAATGTTACATTAATAAATATTTCATTATTACATTACAGTGCAATCCGTCGAATGCAAAGAGTAGGAGTGTTACAGTACATGTTTTAAATGGTAAATAATTAAATAGATTTGTATGATACATGAATTATCGTTCAAGGGATGTTAAAATGAAAATGAGATTTAATTGATCGGAAAGATCAGCGGAATGGGCTTGACAAATGTTAAATTGAGTAATTATAATTGGAAAATTGTTATATGAATGGAGTTGCTGGGGGGTTCAGTCTGGTCTGTCATTTTGTCCAATATTGAATTTAATATAGAAATGATTTGGTAGTCAGGTACAGTATAAGATTCGTGTGGTCCGAAATTATTTGTTGAATGACTCTAATACCTCGTAGAGGGGGTTTAAGCTTCTTCTTCAGAGATTTTAAATTTTTCAAAGGGGTCTGGTTTTCTCTCAAACAAAAATTAATCTCTGACACTTTTGGACCTCTCCCTAGCTATGCTCATACAGTAGTGTCTTTAATCGGGTTCTTCTAAGGCAGACTAGGAGTTTGGCACTAAGAACTGTGGATATGGCTCGAAGAGCATCTGTAGTAGATAGGCCTGAGGATAAGGCTCGCGTTGAAACTGGTAATTTGTGTATTACGGATATTCGAAGTAAGATAAGCACCTTGGTGGCCGAGTGGTAGGGATATTTGCTAGAAAGGTCAGAGATCACCTCTTTTGAAGTCGTGGGCTCGATTCCCATCGAACCCGACTTGTTTAAATTAGTATACACATATGGCAGTTATAGAAAAATCTACAAGAACTGGTAAATATAATCCCTTAAACAATCACCAAATCTAACAGAATCTCAATGATAAAACTTAACATTCCTTGTCCATCTTCCATGTTTAATCTACTTTCGACAATTGTCACAACACCGCCACATTAAAATATCCAAACTGGTGTAAAGTAAAATTGCAAAAATAATAACAAACATAAACACATGCAGCATAAATAATTTGTGAGAGGAGCATAATCCATTCTCGTCTCTTTCTGCGTGAGTTAACCAGTGATATGTAACATGCTGAATGTATGTACATTAATGTGCGGTATTGTGAGAAATGTCGACACAAAAAAATGCAATAAATGGAAATATTTGGAGAGCAGTGTAAAGTCAAAATTAAACAGGTGCTTCGCATTCTGTTTCCAGGGGAGTTCCCAGCAGCAATGCAGCGCGGGGTGCCGTGTCATCAAATAGCATCAAGTCGACATTATCTGTTCATTTGTATATCAGTATTATTATCCACGTTTTCCTTTCTCAAAATATTCATAAGCGTTTAATACAATTTCTAAGTGGTGATTTATGTAAATCAATGATTTGTAATATTCTCCTACTACACACGCACACGCTAAACTTTTATTGGAAGTTAACGAGGCACTTCCTTAAGCGTAGTAATGTTAAAATGTTTACAACAAATGATCATGGTGGCTATGTAGTAGAAAATCCAATGACAACATCAACATGTTATCATCGTGATCGTCATCGATGTAATGAACGTGAAAGGATACTTAATAGGAATAATAATTATAAAATTAGTTATAATCCATATAAAATAAATTATAAAATGTCCTTTCTTATACTATTATTACTAACACAAATAATGATGATATTACAAATACATTTAAATAAATTTAACAAATATGAAAAGACTCACAATAATAATCGAATAAATGATTTAAAATTCAGTTATGCTATTAGGTGAGGATGGGAGGAAATTATAAAATTTCTATTTGCATTTGTAATATAAATGTATGTATATTCTATATAAATGGTAATAAGAATTAATTAATAAATTTTATTTCATGACGAAATTACTTTGAGGGTTTTAAAATTATTTTTTTTTAAATTTTGTTGTCTAGCTCAAATTAATTTTTAAACTTTTTAGTAGATTGGTGAAGATAACGATTTAGCATAAATTTTAAAAACCTTTCGTTAGCTTTTAAATTTAGTTTTGTTTTAAAAAAATCTAAAACAATTGTAAATTTCCGGATAATCCTTAAACTTCTAGATTAATTTCATTTATACACAAAAAGTAATTTCATTTTGAAATAATCGAACAAGAGTCAGATATTTTTAAATAATTTTATAATTATTTAAATCTATCTGAAGACTTGTGATTAATGATGATTTAATATAAAAATTTAAAAAAGTATATATTTAATAAAAAATGAAGAAAAAAGAACCTACAAAATAAGAATAATAAATAAAATAATAAAGAAAAATTGAAAATACTGATAAAAAAAAAATGTTTTTGACTGTTGAAAGAATTATAAAAGAAAAATATTTAAATGAAGAAAAGAAGGAAAGAAATAAACTGACTATTATAATTTCAAAACAATATAAATGACAAATTGTAAACGTCTTTTAAATTAATGAATTGTCTTCTGTTTTGAAGGTAAATTTTAAATTTGAATCTTCTGAAGATTTTTTTTTTGTATTTCAGGTATTTTCCCGAATAGCACAAGTCTGTTAATCGAATAGAAATCCAGCATCGAGCCGACATGATTCTGTTATGTTGCTGATTTCGATTTAAATCCAGCACTATGTGAGAGTCACATAGGCTTCGTACCGAATTTCTGATTGATTAACCGACTTGTGCCATTCGGGTTTAATTTTCGTCAATACACCCCCCCCCCCCCTCCCTCTTTCACGCTTGTTAAAGAATATTCTCCAACTCCAAGTTCTAGAATTAAATAAATTAAATTTAATTAAAACAAATATGATTGAAACTCGATCAACCTTAGTTCCTCACAGAATTTCCAGCTATCCCGCAGACTAAACATTTAGCTATAAAATTCTAAAGCAGCACAAATAAATTCTATCAAAAAAATAGTAAGTAAATCACATTTTAAATTTGTTTAACATTTTTAAACTCTTTTAAAGTTTTAATTTGCCATTAAAGTATCAAAACAAAATTTGTTGAAACAATTCAAAAATTCACATTAATTCAATAATAAATTTTTAACATCAATTAAAAGCCCGAGGTTTGCATTTTAAATCCTCATGGTAAATAAATTATTTATTCTATAGCTATAGTTTGTTCTAGTTTTCATAAATTGATGCCAAACTTTTGCATTTTATTCAAAAAATCCATAACAAAAAAAAATCCACAAATTTTTAAAGCTTTCAACGTTTAAAAGATCATCAAATTTAGGTTAGCCAAGAAAAACTCTTCAGAGAAAATCAAAAGTGATTTTTCAACCCTTCTGAAGAGCTCCTTTTTCAGCATAAACAAAAATATTGATCATCAAACAATGAAAAGTCCTCTTCATTACAACAATAAAATTGAAGCTCCTTTTTATTCTATTTTCATACAAAAAGATAATGAAACTAATGAAAAATGGTAAAATCAAACAAACTAAGTGCACCTCATTTAGGATTATTTATGGTGTAATTTAAATGTAACAAAAGAGACGAGTACAGCACGTGGGTAGAAAAGGTTACATTCGACCGACAACAAAAAAATAAATGCCGAGGTGAAAATATTTTCTTTTCTTATTCTTTTCATTTGGTCATTAATCAAAATTTTGTTGCTTACCTCTTTCTTATTTATTTTTGTGCTTTTTATTCCATATTTTCTATGGAAAATAATGAATTGATTTTCTATTGAATTTTACTACTACTTTGGTTATATAAAAGCTCTTTGTTTTGTAAAAATAAACAATTTTGATAAACTGTTGAATGAATGAGAATTTATTATTCAAATGTCTTTATAATGACTTTATCAAGTTTTGAGAGCGTTAATAATTGAATTGTGACAGTATTTTTGGATCAGAACAAGAAAGTTGTATGATAGATTATATCAGAATATCCCTCACTTGTCTAGAGTCACCTTCACCAGCCACAACTAGTCAAACCTAGTCAAACTTAGTCAAACCTAGTCGAAACTATTCAAACCCAGTGAAACTCATTCAAACCTAGTCGAACATACTCAAAACTAGTCAAACATACTCAAAACTAGTCGAATATACTCAAACCTAATCAAACCTAGTCAAATCTAGTCAAACTCAATCAAACCTAGTCAAAAATAATAAAATCTAGTCAAACCTAATAAAATCTAGTCAAACCTAATAAAATCTAGTCAAATTTATTCGAACCTAGTCGTACCTAGTCGAATCTAGTCGAACTTATTCAAACCTAGTCGAACCTAGTCGAACCTAGTCGAATCTAGTCGAACCTAGTCGAATCTAGTCAAACCTAGTTGAGCATCTTCAATTTAATCAAATCCTAGTAAAATCCTAATCAATTCTAGTTAAACCACGACAATCCTCGTTGAACCTAGTAGAACCTAGTTGGACCTAGTTAATACTTGTCAAACCTAGTCGAACATATTCAATTCTAATCAAATCCTAATCAAACATAGACAAACCTAGTCAAACCTAAACCTAGTCAATTATAATCAAACCCCAGTCAATTCTAGTTTAACCTAGACAACCTTGTCAAACCTAGTGACGACATTAGAGTGTGTTCTCGTATCCAAGTAGTATTGTCAACTTAATCGTCATCAATTTCTATCATTCAATCAAACTTAATTTGATTGTAAAAATTTAATTATTAGAATATGTTCGTGATAAAACTGAATCACCCAATAAATATAATACTAGCGTCAGGGGTTGTTTCTAAGGTTACTTAACCCTAGTCACAGTCACGTTTTATTTAAACTTTGCGGCCCATTTCTTGTACAAGGAAACGGTTTCTGCACAAAAAAAATATTTCCATAAAATTTTATATATGTATTTTCAGACCCTTTAAAGATCCAATAAAATACCTTCTTAGAAAATCCTCTGATTGTTATTTTTATAGATTGTTATTCTGTTTGTTGGACAGAAAATAATAATAATTGGATTGATTGGAAATTCGGAAAGGAAAATTGTCTGAAATAAAGCATTTTGTCACCCACTCAAGTGAAAATCAATTAAGATTGAAAATATTCTCTTGAAATATTGTTTCATAAAAACAAGAATCGAAAATCTCCAAGGCTGCAAAAAAGAAATTCCCAATAAAAAAAAAAGTATCTATAAATACAAGTCATTCGAAACCAAAAGTTTGTTAAATAATAATTAGATGACGATTTTAATTAAATATCATTATATTATAACTCAATTTAAGTTGCTTAGCACCCACTAATCTCATCTAGAAAACATTTGGAAATGTGCTGCAATTAGCTAATACTTTTAGGCAATTATTTTGTATTTTATACTTAATTAATAGATAACGATCTTCGTAATATTTATCACGTTGCCACTCTTTCGAGTTTTTTCATGTAGAATAAATTTTGCTAATTAATTTTTTCTATGGAAACAAATCTTTTTTATTTTAAATAAATATTCGTCACTGTCTTAAATAATGTTCAAGGCTTTGCTAGCTATAGAGACTATTTACTTCTTGAGGATTTGCTTCGATAAGGATTCGAACTAGCGCTCTACCTTTAGCGCGCTTTAGTGTTATTGAAGAAGCTAATGCAGTGTTTCTAAAACTTTTTTGGTCCACGGCAAATTTTTTTACATACAAATTTTTGCGGCTCACTTAATATCAAATTTTTTCACGCCACACTAGTGTGCCGTGGCACACAGTTTGAGAACCATTGAGCTAATACTTTCCTCTAGTGCCCTAGCCAAGGGGTTGGAGTCGTAGATGACTGGGTGGGGACTGTTTTATTTACAAAAAAATAAGAAACTGGATGGGCACAGTTCACAAATTACGTAGCATAATTAAATGGATTTTCAAAATACCAGTTCTTCCCCTTGGTCGTAAGATTTGTAAGAAGAAAAATTTCTTTGGTTTTAACAATCACAAAATCTCAGAAACCCTCCAAATTAGTGAAGGTTCCTGAGGCTACGATTACTTAACCAGATTTTCAGGATGTGGGTAGTAAAAAGACGAATATGTGAAATTTACCACCACTTTCTTTAAAATATCATGAGTTTACAATTAAATTTGAGCATAATTTAGTAAATTTTTGTTAAAGAGAATTTTAATTCTTCTTTAAAAATTCATGGCCTTAAAAAATCTCCATTAACTAATTTGAAAAAAAAAACTCTTCATTTTTTATCCGTTCTTGAAGTGCAAACAATAAGGAAGAAAGTTTTTCCAGCATGAAAAAATAATTTTCCATATTATATAATCAAAAGCAAAAAAGAAAAGAAGCGAGAGAAATTAAAGCAAAAGAAGGAAGAACTTATGTGAAGGTAATCATAATAATAAAAAAAGGAGGCAAATGAGAAAAGTTTTTGAGCGCGCGCGAGTTAAATAAGAATGAATTGAAAGTGGAAAATATGAAGATGTTAGAAATGCGAGATGTAAAGGAATTTTAAAGAATGAATGCAAATTAATTTACCCACAAAAATTAAAAGCAGAAGCTGGCACGTTTAGGAGTTAATCAAAAAATTTCATCCAACTATGTTGTAAGTCTTAATATTTAAATGAGGATTTAGGATGGAAGGGGGATCTGTAATAATTTTGGAAAAATCTTATGAGGAGGACTTTAATTGAGTTGCATTATTTTGAACTAAGCTTTTTTTTGGGGGGGGGGGGCGCTCGTTATGTTTTGTAAATATTTTGTAAATAGTATTAAGTCGCATTTAGGTGTTAATTTTTTAGAGTCAACTCTACCACAGAATTTCTTGGCTTCACAACCCCCTCCCTTCACCCAACTTGTACTTCAAATGGCTTAACAAAACATCACAATCCCCCTGACCCACC